TTTTTTTTTTTTTTTTTTGAGTTGGAGTCTCATTCTTGTCACCCATGCTGGAGTGCAGTGGCATGCTCACAGCCACCACAGCCTTGACCTGCTGGGCTCGGCAATCCTTCTGCCTCAGACTTCCAAGTAACCAGAACTACAGGTGCACGCTACCATGCCCGACTAATTTTTTGATTTATCGTAGTGATGAGGTCTCGCCAAGTTGCCTGGGCTGGTCTTGAACTCTCAGGCTCAGGCAACCCACTCACCTCGGCCTCCCAAAGTGCTGGGATTACAGAGTTGAAGTCTCTGTCACCCAAGTTGGAGTGCAGTGGCCTAATCACAGCTCACTGCAGCCTCAGCCTGCTGGACTCTGGCAATCCTTCCACCTCAGCCTTTCAAGTAGCTGGAACTACGGACACACACCACCACGTCCGGCTAATTTTTTGTTTTATTATAGAGATGAGGTCTTGCCAAGTTGCCCAGGCTGGTCTCAAACCCCTGGGATCAGGCAATCTTCTTGCCTCAGCCTCCCAAAGTGCTGTGATTACAGGCGTGAGCCACTGTACCTGGCTGTCAGAAAATATTTTAAAGGAAAATTATTTGGTCTTACCCTGCAAGTATCAAAAGCTCCATCTTCAACACCTGCACAAAATGAAGTATTAGGAATGTCTCCCCCATAACTCTTCTCAGAATTACAAATCTCTCGAGAAATATAATGCACTTCTGCTTCCTGCAAAAGTTTTGTAAGGCCACCTGTTAGCAAAAACAAAACAAAAACCAATACATTATTTTGGAGCACAGACAATTTTTACAATGATTTTAAATGTTGATGTTTAATGGGTTTTCTTTCCAAGGGGACTGATTCAACAACTACTGTAAAACTATATCCATAAATACGTATATGTAAGTATGCCTAGGAAGGCTGTAGAAGAATGTTCAGCTGAATGTTGATGGCAGTTATCTTTAGACAGTAGGAATTTCAAGTGATTTTTGTTATCTTTACTTTCATGTATTTCTTGATGGTCTCACAAAGAATCTATAATTGTTACAAAATCGTTATGTAAAAATTGTCAAGAGATAAAGAGACACATGCTGTAGTTAGTCTTACTTCTGTTGTAAATTGTGAATAATTTTAACTAAATATGCTAATAATGTTTGTGAAGGAAAATGAACATAAAAATAAACCAGATTTTTAACTCACGTGTTTCCTTAATTTACCTGCTAATTCCTGAGCATAAAGTGATTCTTTGCTACAGAAGGGATAGGAAAATACAGGACAACACTCAGGAACCATTAAAGGACAGATTATGGTAAAAATCATTCCATAGAAAAGCCTCTCTGACTGGGGCACCACGGCTCATGCTCGTAATCCCAGTACTTTGGGAGGTGAGGTGAGAAGATTGCCTGAAGCCAGGAGTTTGAGACCAGCCTGGGCAACACAGCAAGACCTCATCTCTACAAAAGGTTATAAAAAATTAGCTGGGTGGGATGGCACGCACAGTTACTCAGGAGGCTGAGGTGAGAGGATGGCTTGAGCCAGGAGATTGAGGCTGCAGTGAGCTACGACTCAATGGAGCAGTCTGTCTCAGCTGTCGTGCATGGTGGCTGAATCCTTCGTGTGTCCTGCATCCCTTCCAACTCTTTTGGTCACAGACATTGTCTCCATGGCTTCAGATGAGCAGATGACCCAACTATTCCATTCATCGAATTTCATTCTCCTGGGGACACCAACTGGTCTAAGGATGACTGTGTTTGATATAAATCTAGCCAGTTGGACTATTTCCCCAGCATTTTTTAAACTGGAGCAGCCAAAGCAGAACTTTTTCACCCTAATTACATGACTGACTGGCTGTTCACCCAAAACACTCAGGAGTCACGGTTCCCATCACACAAGGACAGGCTTCCTGAGAGGATAAAGCCAACTGCAGAGAGAAACAGGAAGAGGAAATCGACATAAATATGTCCTGCTGGCATTTAGATTCCTGGGTCGTGGCTTCCCAGAGGCCAGCCACATCTCTGCCATTTAAAAATAATTGATCGGCCAGGCACGGTGGCTCACACCTATAATCCCAGCATTTTGGGAGGCCGAGGTGAGAGGATTGCCTGAGCCCAGGGGTTCGGGACCAGCCTGGGCAACTTGGCGAAACCTCATCTCTACAATAAATCAAGAAAAATTAGCTGGGTGTGGTGGCGCATGCCTGTGGTTCCCAGCAAAACAGAACAGAAAACCCAGACACCTATTTCCAGGCTCGCTCTCCTATTCACTTTGAAAATACCTGGTTTTCCTCAATAAACTTTAAAACCTGGTTGTTTGGAACAGTACAGCACTAATACCGCATTGGTATTGGTATTACTCAAGTTCATAAACTGGGTGGCTCACAGGTGCTCATTTCATCATTATATTTATACATACTAGTTTATATACAGCCAGTATCACTTGATCAATTTTTTTTTTTAAGTTTTTGAGTTGGAGTCTCACTCTGTCGTCCAGGCTGGAGTGCAGTGGCACCTCATGGCCATCACAACCTCAACCTGCTGGGTCTCAGGTGATCCTTCCACCTCAGTCTTCTAAGTAGCTGGAACTACAGGCGTGCACCACCATGCCCCGCTAATTTTTCTTGATTAATTGTAGAGACAAGGTCTTACCAAATTGCCCAGGCTAGTCTCGAACCCATGGACTCAGGCAATCTTCTTGCCTCTGCCGTCCAAAGTGCTGGGATTACAGGTGTGAGCCACTGCGTCCGGCCTCATCTGTTAACTTGTTAGCTTTAAAAAAATTTTTTTTTGTTATGTTGGCAACTTTTTATTTTGATATAATTTTAAGATTATAGGAAAGTACTAAGAATAGTACAAAGAACTGCCAAATACCCTTTACTCAGATTCACCAATTGTTTACATTTTGTCACTTTGGCATTATTATTTGTCCTATGTGTTGTGTTGTGTATAAATAAATTTTTCTGAACCATTTGAGAGTAAATGGCAGAAAATGTGCCCCTACGCCCTTAAATACTTCAGTGTCTATTTCTTAAAAACAAGGATATTAGCCGGGCTCGGTGGCTCAGCCTGTAATCCCGCGCCTTTGGGAGGTTGAAGGGAGTGGATTGCCTGAGCCCGCGGGTTCGAGACCCGCCTGGGCAGCGAGACCTCATCTCTACAATAAATCAAAGTCAGCCGGGTGTGGTAGCGCACGCCTGTAGTTCCAGTTACTCGGAAAGCTGAGGTGGAAGGATCGCCGGAGCCCAGTGGGTGGAGGCTGCGGTGGCCGGGGGCAGCCACTGCACTCCAGTCTGGGTGACGGAGTGAAACTCCAACTCAAAAAAAAAAAACAAGGATATTAGCCGGGCTCAGTGGCTCAGCCTGCAATACCAGTGCTTTGGGAGGCTGAGGTGAGTGGATTGTCTGAGCCCGCAGGTTCGAGACCTGCCTGGGCAACTTGGTGACACCTCATCTCTACAATAAATCAAAAAATTAGCCGGGCGTGGTAGCGCACGCCTGTAGTTCCAGTTACTTGGAAGGCTGAGGCAGAAGGATCGCTGGAGCCCAGCAGGTGGAGGTTGCGGTGGCCGGGAGCAGCCACTGCACTCCAGTCTGGGTGACAGAGTGAGACTCCAACTTAAAATAATAATAATAATAACAATAAAAACAAGGACATTATCTTGTATAACCACGGTATATTCATCAATATCAGGAAGGTCAACACTGGTATAATGTTATCCAATTCACATTTAATCCCCGTGTACCTTGGGATCTTTCCAGCTGTGTTTGTTATTGGTTTCTAGTTTAATTCCACTGTAGTCTGAGAGCATGTGTTGTGCATTTCTGTTTTTATACGCATGAAGGCGTGTTTATGGACCAGCATGCGGTCCATCTTGGTGACTGTCCCATGTGCGTCTGAGAAGAGTGTGTATTCTGCTGTTGCTGGATAAAGTAGTCTATGGATGCCAATTTCATCTGTGTCTGACGGTGCTGATGAGATTAACTGTGTCCTGAACGGTGTCCAGTCTGCCTGATCTGACCGTTACTGATAGACGGGTGTCGAGATGTTCAACTGTGATGGTGGAATCTTCTGTTTCCCTTGCAGTTGTCAGCTGCTGTCTCATGAAGAAGCTTTGTTCTCTCTGTTTTCAGGCACATGCACAGAAGGACTGCAATGTATTACATATTCTTGGTGCTGATCCCTATTTATCACTATGTAATCTCCCTCTTTATCCTTGATCACTTTCCTTGCTCTGAAGTTTGCTCTGTCTGAAATTAATGCAGCTGTTTCAGCTTTCTTCTGGTTAGCGTTAGCATGGCATATCTTTCTTCATCCTTTGTTTTTCTCTATCTCTTTATTTTTAATCTTCTATGTGTTCCTAAAGTGAGTTTCTTGCAGACAGCATACAGTTGGGTCTTGATTTTTTTATTCACTCTAATAATCTCTGTATTTTAATTAATATATTGAAACCACTGATGTCTAAAGTGATTACTGATAACTGGATGGATAGCTGTCTCAGTTGTTAGTTTTCTATTCATTACTCTTTTTTTTCTAATTTTGTCTTCCATTCTTTTATGGCTTTTGTGGTTTTAACTGAATATTTTATCTGATTCCATTTTCTCTCCTATCTTAACATATAAATTATACTTTTTAAAAACATTTTTTAAGCCGGGTGCAGTGGCTCAAACCTATAATCCCAGCACTTTGGAAGGCCAAGGTGAGAGGATTGCCAGAACTCAAGGGTTTGAGATCAGCAGGAGCAACATGGCAAGACCTCACCTCTACAATTAAAAAAAAAAAAAAAGAAAAAAAAAAAAAGCACACTGTAGTCCCAGCTCTTGGAAGGCTGAGGAGGAAGGATCACCTGAGTCCAGCAGGCTGTGGTGGCCATGAGCATGCCACTGCACTCCAGCCTAGGTAACAGAGTGAGACTCTAACTCTAAATAAATAAATAGCTGGGCACAATGGCTCAAGCCTGTAATCCCAACACTTTGGGAGGCCGAGGTGAGAGGACTGCCTGAGCTCAGTGGTTCGATACCAGCCTGGGCAACTTGGTGAGACATCGTCTCTACAATAAATAAAAAAAAATAAGCTGGGCATGGTAGCGCATACTTGTGTTTCCAGATACTTGGAGGCTGAGGCGGAAGGATTGCCTGAGCCCAGCAGGTCGGGCTGCGGTGGCCGTGATTGTGTCACCGCACTCCAGCCTAGGCGACAGAGTAAGACTCGAACTCAAAAAAACCCGGGTGCAGTGGCTCACGCCTATAATCCCAGCACTTTGGGAGGCTGAGGTGAGAGGACTGCCTGAGCCTACGGGTTTGAGACCAGCCTGGGCAACTTGGCAAGACCTTATCTGTACAATAAATCAAAAACAGCCAGGCTCGGTGGCTCAGCCTGTAATCCGATGCTTTGGAAGGCTGAGGTGAGATGGGACCTCACTATGTTGCCCAGGCTGATCTTGAATTTCTGGGCTCAAGCAACCCTCCTGCCTCAGCCTCCCAAATTACAGATGTGTGAGCCACCATGCCCCACCTTATTACTGTCCTTCTCTCTGAAGAACTTTTTTTTTTTTTGAGTTGGATTCTCACTCTGTTGCCCAGGCTGGAGTGCCGTGGCATGCTCACAGCCATCCCAGCCTCGACTGGCTGGGCTCAGGTGATCCTTCCGCCTCAGTCTTTCAAGTAGCCAGAACTAAAGGTGCGTGCTACCATGCCCGGCTAATTTTTTTGTATTTACTGTAGAGAAGAGGTCTCACCATGTTGCCTAGGCTGGTCTCGAACCCATGGGCTCAGGCAATCCTCTAGCCTCAGCCTCCCAAAGTGCTAGGATTATAGGCTTGAGCCACACCACTCCTGGTCAAGAACTTCTTTTACTATTTCTTGCAAGGCAGGTCTATTGGCAACACGCTCCCTCAATTTCTGCTTGTCTGAGAAGGTCTTGACTGACTTTTGAAGGATAATTTCATAGGATATAGGATTATAGGTTGGTGGATTTTTTTCTCTCAATGCTTTAAATATTTCACGCTGGCCTCTTGCTGCTTGCATGGCTTCTGAGAAAAGTGGTGTGTAATTCCTGTGTCCTGTATAAGCTTTTTTTTCCCTCTGGCTTCTTCAGTATTTTTTCTTTGTCTTTGATTTTCTGCATATTGAATATGCTACGCTTCGGTACAGTTTTTGTTTGTTAGTTTTGAGAGAGAGACTCTCGCTGTGTCACCCAAGCGGGAGTACAGCGGTGTGATCATAGCTCACTGCAGCCTCAAGCTCCTGAATTCAAGCAATCCTCCCACATCAGCCTCCAGAACACCTGGCGTTATAGGCATGAGCCACCACGCCCAGCCTAGGTGTAGGTTTTCTTGTTTTTTGTGTTTTTTTGGCATCTATTTTGCTTGGTGTTTTCCAGACTTCCTGGATCTGTGGTTTGGTGTTTGACATTATTTTTGGAAAATCCTCAGTCATTTTTACAGTAGTACCCTTTTATATGCTGTTTTTTTTTTTTTTTGTGGTTTCAGTTACCCGTGGCCCAAAAATATTAAACAGAAACTTCCAGAAGCAGTTTGTAAGTTTTAAATTGGGCACTGTCCTGTGTAGCAAGATAAACTCTCACACCACCCTGCTTGTCCTACCCAGGCCGCGAACCCTGCCTCTGTCCAGCATGCACACACCATGTAAGTCTCCTGCCTGTTGGTCATGTGATAGTCCTCTCAGTTGCCAGATCAACTGTCGTGCTACCGCAGTGCCTGGATACAAGGAACCCGTCTTTTACTAATAAGGGGCCCAAAATATATGAGTGGTGGCAACTGGCAATTCAGATGTGCCCGGCAGAAGCCAAACTGTAAAGTGCTTCCTTTAAGTGAAAAGGCAAAAGTTCTCAATAAGGAAAGAGGCCAGGTGCAGTGGCTCACGCCTAAAATCCCAGCACTTTGGAGGCCAAGGCGAGAGGATTGCTTGAGCCCAGGAGTTCGAGATCAGCTGAGTAACATAACAAGACCTCGACTCTACAAAATATCAAAAAATTAGGTGGGCATGGTTGTGCGTGCCTTTAGACCCAGCTACTCAGGAGGCTGGAGTGGAAGGATTGCCTGAATCTAGGAGGTTGAGGCTGTGGTGAGCTGTTGTGGCACTGGGCTCTAGCCTGGGTGACAGACTGAGACCTGGATTCAAATTTAAATTAAAAAAAAAAGAGCCCGGTAGGTCAAGGCTGTGGTGGCTATGAGCATGCCACTGCACTCCAGCCTGGATGACAGAGTGAGACTCCAACTCAAAAGAAAAAAAAAAGCTAGGTGAGGTGGTGTGTACCTGTAGTCCCAGCTACTTGGAAGGCTAAGGCAAGAGAATCACTTGAGCCCAGGAGTCAAGGCCACAGTGAGCTATGATCACACCACTGCACTCCAGCCTGGGTGGCACAGCAAGACTCCATCTCTAAAAAAAATTGTTTTAAGTAATAATAAAACAGGGCCTAAAACATGGCAAATGCTCCCAAATGGTAGCTGTTATTACCAAAGGCAGATATTATGTGTTTTTAATGTCTCTCACTAGTTCAGTCAATTAACATTCCGTGCCCCTCTGTGCACTAAAGAAAATACATGGCAGCCAACCTGCTTGATACTAACCAGGACATTAAATAAAAAGGACACTAAATTTAATTCCTCATAGTCAAAAGCTTATTACTCAAGATAGGCAATTCTGCCACAGAGCTGGCTTCATAATCTGTGAGTCTCAAACTACAGAAACACTTGAACTACCATTCTACCATTCTATCTGAGACGTCTAAAGGCTCAAGTATCTTGGCATATAAAACCAGAGACAGTCTCTACTTCTGCTTTGGAAGAGAATTTTCTCTCCTCCTCTCACAAGGAAAAAAAAATATAGACCAAAAAAAAAGAAAGTCCTTTTTGCTGGTTTGTAAAGATCTACTTTTCAACCTCAAGACATAAAGTGATAAAGAGATAATATAGGCCGGGCTCGGTGGCTCAGCCTGTAATCCCATGCTTTGGGAGGCTGAGGTGAGCGGATTGCTGCCTGAGCCCGTAGATTCGAGACCCACCTGGGCAACTTGGCGAGACCTCATCTCTACAATAAATCAAGAAAGTAGCCGGGCGTGGTAGCGCACAACTGTAGTTCCAGCTACACAGAAGGCTAAAGCAGAAGGATCGCTGGAGCCCAGCAGGTCAAGGCTGCGGTGGCCGGGAGTGGCCACTGCACTCCAGTCTGGGCGACAGAGTGAGACTCCAGCTCAAAAAAAAAAAAAAAGAGAGATAATATATACGGAGAGAAACACAGTCATGGATCACTTAACAACTGGGGGCATTCTGGGAAAAAGCGTCCTCAGGCGATTTCCTCACTGTGTGAACATCACAGCGTGTCCTTACACAAACCGAGACGAGATGGTCCAGTGACTGCACACTCGGGCTGTGTGGTCCCGCCTACGGCTATAGGTGAACCTGCACAGCATGTGACTGTACTGGATATTTTAGACAACGGTAACACACTGGTAATCGTGTATCTAAACATAGAAAAGGTAGAGTAAAAAGAGGCTGATAATCCTATGTGAGCACCTTCATATAGGTGGTCTGCTGTTGACCATAACATAGAGGACTGACTTCCTCCGCCAATCGGCAGGAAAATCTCTATCAGTAAGTCAGACTATAATTACCTTCTTCTTTTGTTCTTCCCCAGCCACTTATAAAACATGTCGTGTTTTGGTTCAGGTTTTGGAAAACATCAAAAGGTAGACAAATAGGCTGAATATAGTTGTTAAACCTCACTGCTTTTTTTAAATGAAAAAGCGCAATGTCATTTACATAAGTTTCCAAAAGGAAGCCCGGATGGACAATGATTGCGTTAACTTTCATCTTCTTGGTGGGTGGTTGGCTGTCATACACCTTATTAGTTCCAATCACAGCTCTCCACATTAAAGGATTTCTGAAAGAAAGAAAATTTATGATGAACTTGTTATTTAACTATGTAAATGTTCTTAATCCCCCACTAGTTTTTTGCTTGTGTTAGAATAAAAACAAAAAAATTTAATTCCACTTACATGTGACATAAAGTGTAAAGTAACCCAAATATCAGGAATTTGTAGGAAGCGGAGAAAAAGATCAATGGGACAGCAAATCCAGAAACAGATTCAAGTATGAAAGAATTAGTATATGATTAAAAAAGCATTTCTTACCAATGGACAAAAGGACAAATTATTCAGTATGTGGTATTGGGACAACTCGCTAACTGTGTGAAAAAAGAAATAAAATTAGATCCTTAAAAGAACACTAAACACCAAAATAAACTCCAAATGGATTAAATAAATGCACAAATCCTTTTAATAAAGGATCCCTATCTCTCAGAGATACCTACAGTGGTATATCTGAGATTTGCTTCAAAATAATTACAGGGGATTGGTGAGGGAAGAGACAAAACAAGATCGGGTGAAAGTTGATCACTTGAGGCTGGCGGTGGGCACATGAGAGTTCACTAGCATATTCCTTCTGCTTTCATAAATATTTTTGAGATTTCCTAGAATGAAACATTTGAATATTAACTTAGCATGAGGATTTTAAAAAACTAAACCAGAAAAAAGATAGATGAATATGCAACACTGACATGAAAAAGCCTTGAGAAAGCGTGCCACTGGAGGAGAACACAGGAAGCAACTGGCGAATCTTGACAGTCTTAAAACAAGCAGGCGAGCAAAAAAACCAAACCAGATCACAAAAGGCAAAAACCAACCGTTTAAACCACGAGAGAGGTTAACAAATATTACATTTGGAATTGAATCAGGGAAGAGGAACTTTCACTTTATACGCTGTTACTTACAAATACTGAGATAACTTTTCACCCATCAACTGGGTGACATTTTCGTGTGTGTCTGTGTTTCATGATGACACAGACAAATGTGAGAGGAATGAGGTGCTTGGACTCACTGTGGACAGAGCCGAGAGGCGGGGAACTGGCTGCAAATATCAGTAGCCTATGAAAGCTGTGCTGCATTTGACTCTGCAGTTCTGCTTCCAGGGAAATAAAAGAGGAGCACAGAGATTCGGCTATGAGAATATTTACCACAGAAAAGACCTAAATGCCCCATATGTGGCTTGAGTAAATTCTGGTATTTCTGCAGAGTGGAATGCAGCAGTAAAACAGATGTGTTGACGTGAAAAGCCGTGCATGTTATATAATTTAATGAAAACAGCTATTTCCCAGTATACTACAGCTACAGGAGCCTGTTATATAAAATAATTTGTATATATGCCTAGAAAAATCTAGAAGGATGTGCACCAAAAAATTAACACCTATCATTTCTAGGAATTATAATAATTCTTCTATATGATTCTTATTTTCTGTCATTTCTGTTTTCTCATTTTATTACATTAAATAAGTTTTACATGCTTTTTTTTTTTCTTTGAGTTGGAGTCTCACTCTGTCACCCAGGCTGGAGTGCAGTGGCACGCTCACAATCACCTCTACTTGCTGGGCTCAGGCTATCCTTTCGCCTCAACCTTCCAAGTAGCTGGAACTACGGTGTGCACTACTATGCCCGGGTAATTTTTGATTTATTGTAGAGATGAGGTCTCGCCAAGGTTGCCCGGGCTGGTCTTGAACCCGCGAGCTCAGGCAATCCAGTCGCCTTGGCCTCCCAAAGTGCTGGGATTATAGGCTGAGCCGAGCCCAGCCTAAATGCTTATTTTTTACTATAAAATTGTACATACACTTGCCATTTGACCTGGTAATCACACATTTGGGTATTTACATAAGTGAAATAAAAACTTAGATTCAGACCGGGTGTGGTGGCTCAAGTCTGTAATTCCAGTATTTTAGGAGGCCAAGGCAAGAGAATTGCCTGAGCCCAGGGATTAGAGAACAGCCTGGGTAACTTGGCAAGACCTTGTCTCTACTATAAATCAAAAAAATTAGCTGGGTGTGGTAGCACACACCTGTAATTCCAGCTACTTGGAAGGCTGAGGTGGAAGGATCACCTGAGCCCAGCAGGTCGAAGCTGTGGTGGCCGGGAGCGTATCACTGCACTCTAGCCTGGGCACCAGAGTGAGACTTCAACTCAAAAAAAAAAACCTAAATGTAAGAGCTAAAGTCATAAAAATCTCAGAAGAAAACACAGGGGAAGAGCTTCACAGTACTGGATTTGATGGGATGATTTCTTAACCATGAAACCAAAAGCACAGCCAACAAAAGAAAAAAAAATCAACAAATTGAATTCCATCAAAAAATTAAAAGGCTTTGTATATCAGAGGTCACTATCCAGGGAGTGAAAAGACAACTTTTGTTGGGAGAAAATATTTGCAAACCATATATCTGATAAAGGAATTAATATCCAGAATATATAAAGAACTACAACTCAACCACAAAAAAAAGAACCCAATTCAAAAATGGGCAAAAGACTTGAACAGACATTACATTTCTCCAAAGAAGAAATGCACATGGCCAATCAGCACAGAAAAGATGCTCAACATCATGAGTTATCAGGGAAATGGAAATCCAAGCTACAGTGAGTCACTCCCTCACACTCATTAGGATAGCTATTATCACAGTGGTAGTGTAAACACAAGTTGTGTGAGTCATATGCTCAGAATATAGAAACTGATATTCCAAATTTACTTCTCGTCCGTAAGGAAGGTAGAGGGGCAGAAGAAGCAAATTTAAGATACAGAGAGACACCGGGCTTGGTGGCTCAGCCTGTAATCCCGCGCCTTTGGGAGGCTGAGGTGAGTGGAT